TTTGGCACGGGGGGGGGTACCAGGGATTGAACTCAGGAGCACTTGACGACTGAGCCACATTCCAGCCCTATTTTGTATTTTAATTATAGAGACAGGGTCTCCCTGAGTTGCTTATTACCTTGCTTTTGCTGAGGCTGGCTTTGAACTCAGGATCCTCCTGCCTCTGCCTCCTGAGCTGCTGGGATTATAGGTGTGATCCACCATGCCCAACTAAATGTTATATTAATATGAAACCTGGACTTCTGTTTTTTTACTGAAGTTGGGTTCATTTGGAAAGACTTATAGCTAGGTGAGGTACTATAATTCATAAGGTACTTTGTGCAAATATGTCCTTTTATAGAGCAGGAATGGCTTTTGGGTTTAGAATTGCTTAAATATAAAAGGTGTTCAATTTAGGATATAGAGGTGAGGGAACTACGTATATGTATTTATTACCTTATCAGGGATCGATAGTAATTGATCCTTTAAGAGACCCATGCTTTTATTTGGGAGAAAGATTAGTTTACATAATTTTTTTTTAATTTTATTTATTTTTTTTATTTTATTAGTTTACATAATTTTTATGTTTTGTTTTTTAAATAGGAATATCAGGGTATAAATTGACAATGAATGCACTGAACTTTGTTTCTCAGGTGTTATATTGGAAAAGTGATCCATATTTAAAGTGTTTATGTGTGTGCATGTGAGCCATCGATCAAACTCGGCCTTGAACATGCTATCCTTTTTCCCTGAACTATACCCTTTCAACATCTCCTTGCTCCCTGCTTTCTATTATTGTTATTATTATTATTATTTTATTATTATTATTATTAAAGAGAGGATCTTGCTCTGTTGCCCAGGTTGGCCTTGAACTACTGGGCTCAAAGGATCCTCCTACCTCACTTAGCCTCCTGAGTATTGGGATTGCACGTGAGTACCCTGTACCTGTCTTCATATCTAGTGTCCTAAAGTCAACTTGGAAAGTTCACAAAACTGAAGTGCTTATGCTGAAAAGCAGTCTCTCCTGGTTAAGCTGTCCAGTTGTCGAACTTGCAGCTAAGCTTGACTTGTCAGTAGACCTCTTTTGACTCTTCATTCTTATAGATTTTGCAAAATCCTGGTTATTCAGTGATGCTGTAGAATTAATTCATTTTGGCCAGGCACAGTGACACACGCCTGTAATCCCAGCAAAACAGGAGGTTGAGACAGGAGGATCCCAAGATCAAGCTGGCCTCAGCAACTTTGTGAGACCCTATGTCAAAAATAAAAAGAACTTGGAATATGATTCGGTGGTCTATTTAACCCCTGGGTTAAATTCCCAGTACACCTAAACAAACAAAAAAATGCATTTTTAAAGTAAACCAGATTTTACTGTATATAACTGGTATATCCTAACTTGCTCAGCCGTGATACTTATTTTTTTTTCCTGTTCTTTAAAAGAGAAGTCAAACTATACTGGCAAAATGGGTGTGAAATATTTAGCCATGGGCAACTGTGTATGGTCTAAGGTTTGATATTGTATACATTGCAGTTTTCACATTCAGATTACTTCACTGATAAAAAGTTGAGTTGAATTGTTCCTTATGTGGTTTATATAATTGCTTTTGCTCAACAAAAATAAAGCAGGTTTTAATATAGATAAAAAAGTTTGAAATTCCCTATTTAAATCTTAGATTGTTTCCTTTTGAGAAGGAGTAAAGTTGAAAACATTTAACTGATTCCATTGGGTAGGTTATATTTTAGCACATGGCACAGCTTATGCTTTGTATCTGTTTAATGAAGATTTGGACTAGGAAAGGAGTGGTAACTAGAATACTAAAGAAGAAAGTCCTTGATTAAGGAGAACGCTGACATTGGACAATCCTAAGGAGGGATAGATAGTAAGCTATTTGTGATAGTAAGCTATTATCTAGTTAGGTGTTGATATAAAAAAAATTACTGGTTTAAAACTGTACATACTTTATCAAGAGGATTGAGAGACTTATTCATGTCATTAAGAATAAAATATTATCTACTTCTTTACTGGTAGATGGCCATGATAGTTTAAATTTCCATTAGTATGTGCTTTTACTTAGTAATATGTATTCTCAGTGTGTTGTATTAGAAAATTGGGCAAATGTTACTGTTTTCAAATAACTGAGCATTTGCGATAAAATTATGGGATTAGGAGAACCTTTAAAATGCACATTTAATCCACATCCAAGGATATATTTTATTTTAAAATATTGGTAACCTTATGCCCTGATTGCTTCACCTTTTTGTATATTTATTATGTCTGGCTTCTTCCATTGGAATGTAAGCGGCAAAGGAGCAAATTCACTAGGTTCTCTCTCTTTTGTTCAGTACACAAATCCTAGGGCCTGTAACATGTAACAGTACTTGGCATGTGGTAGATGTTCAGTAAATGCTGAATGCGTGAACGTGTTTGAGGAAGTGAGAGTGAACATGTATTCTAGCCTCCCACTTGAAACTGGAACACCACCTGGTATTCTATTTGAGTACAAGTTAATCAGTTGATTACTTATTGAAATACAGTTTCTGGGGCTCCATAGTTGTGGGTGAAGTTGTCTGAAATACAATTAATTGGCCTGGGATCCTTTTTTTTTTTCTCATTAGGAGAAGAAAACCCATGGTCACAGAAAAACTAGTTTTTTGGAGTTAATGATCTCTTACTGCTACCCAGTATAGTTTGCCACGCATGTTTCAAAGATAGGTTGCACTTCTAATGGGAATACCTGGATACACCAGGTGGCAGCCATAACTGCCTCTACATGGCACTCTTTTTAAGATGGGGTGGTGATGGGCATCAGTGCTAAATAGCTTGAGGAAGATTGTTTTTTGGGAAGAGAGGCTTGCCAGCACAGTACAATTGGGTTTTTGGTTGGGAAATATCTAAGTATAACAGACAAAAATGGAACTAGCCATGGGAAGTGACACAGTTGAGATTCTTGAAGTGGCGATTATATATATAGCACAGACATCTAAATTCAGTGTGTGCTTTAGTGTTTTAGTGATAAACTGGTTAGCATAGGAGGAAGTTTCTTAATTAAAAGAATTAGGTGAAAATGGTGATCAGACAAGAAAGACTTGTAGCAATCCTGGGAAATAGTACATAATTAACAGTATTGGTCTTAAGCAGTTCAATATCCCTTTCTATCATGAAGGATAAATGTCTTTTGAAAGCTTTATGTTCTACAATATTAGTTTGGTTGAGTCTTAACTGTGTGCCTTGAATCTAGTCATGCTGCCAAATAAGCTTTAAATTGTACTTTATTAATTTATTTATTGTATTGGGGATTGAAGCCAGGACCTTTTGGTGCTAGACAAGTGCTCTCCCACTGAGCTGCACCCCATTGTGCAGTATCTTCTTACCTTGCCTTCATATACATATGCCTTAAAAATAAAATGTTACACAGAAAAGTCGAGATCAGGTGTGCAGCTCAGAATTTTCACAAAGTGAACATATTCATGTAAACAGATGTCACCCAGATCAGAAAATATGAGTGTGCTAGGACTCCAGAAGTCTCTCATGCTCTTCCCCTGAGATAACCTCTAGCCTGACTTCCATGACCACAGATTATTTTGTATATTTTTAACTATGTAAGTGGAATTACCATATACTCTTTTGTATCTGGCCTACTTAATACTAT